TGTAAATATGTAAATAATTTACAGTTAAGCAGAATCAACACACAGTTAAGTAGAGGGACAGCAATTTTAAAGTGTAGTTGACCATGAGACCAATAATTCAAAACCACTTACAATACGGTAAAGATTGTATTATAGAAAAAATTATAGGGAGAACTGCAATTTATAGTGACTTGTAGCTTACAACATGGAAATGCATGTACAATAACTCATCATGGTAAGACCCTAATTCAACATGACATTCAAGCTGATGGCTAATTTTTGACATTACCCTTTCTACCTACCACACTACTCACAGAACAAGTGCAATTGTGAATCATGACAAGATCCTACTCCTACGATATCATGTGGGACTGCAAGGTCTGAGGCTTGCCGTGTCCCACTGCCAGCTCATTGCGTTCATGAGTTCAAAGGACAGCAGCAACCCAGCCATCCGTAGCGCAAACGCAAACTGAACAATGAAGAATGTTTCTGAGCAATGCTTTTTTTCTTCTCCACATCATCTAAGAATTTAAAAACGTATTTTCTCCAGTTTTCCAAGACAAACAACCTTTCCCGTAGCCCCTCCTCTCACACTGCACATTCAGCCTTAGAATAGCACGTATTAGAATGCAAAGCACTCCCATTCAGGCGTTAAGCCTGGGGAACAGACATCACAGTTATGAAACTGCTGTAAAGCCACAAAGATGGCTTTCCCCTTTCTCTCCCCTCTCCCCTGTAATGAACATTTTGTATCACTCTCTGTGCTGAATATACTTGCCATAAACATTAGAAGAACTGATTAGGAGAAAGTTTAGCACTCAGTCCCTCCCTCCTGGGATGGAGGCATGAGGAACTACTGCAATTTAGGTTAGAGCAGCATGTGACATCACCACTCAATGCTGCCAGAGCTTGCTAGGGAGCTCTGGCAAAGAAAAAAGGTATGATGACTAAGATCTGCTACATGAAGGCTGAAAGATAGAAGTCAGCTTTCCTTTTCTTCCTCTGCAAAGCTTGGTATCATTTGTCTACATTACAGAAACATGGTGAAAGACACCAGGGCTTGCTGCTCTATTCATTTCAAACTGGTTCATCTAGTGGGCAACGAAGCTTGTAACATTTAAAAGTATTAATGGCAACAGGAAATTTAAAAGCATACATGTAAAGTGCCTCTGCTTATACCAATAAAGGCTTTGATTATTGAACAGTGACAGAAGCCTAAATGTGTATTTTATTACTTAGACTTAGTGATGGACATTTGAAGTTCATCTGTATCACATCAGCAACACGGTGATTACCAGATTCCAGCATGAGAAAGGAAGATATCATTCTACTATTAAATTACAGTTCATATGTCAAAATATAAGTAAGGTGAAAACCCCAGTAAAAATATAAAAAGCTGACCTCATAGATCCGTAGGTGCACAGAGAGCGCAAAGACAAAGCAGCAATTTCCCCTGAAACAAAAATTATTTCTGCACTGTGTACACTCTGACTTAAGCAAAAACTGGCCCAGGATTTTGCCCCAGATGCATTTACTAGTACCCTTTAAAGCAACATTTGTACAGCATCTGGTCTTTTTTAAGAAACAAAACACCCGCAGACTGGAAGTAGGTGAAGTTAGAAGAAATCAAGGAAGGCAGGAGCTCAGCAGGTTTAGTCAGGTTAGGAGAGGATACAGCTTTGTTCCACTGTCTACAAATATACAGCTGCCTGGGCTATGGCCACATTTTGTACATGAGAGAAGTTAAATATCTGGAGGCCCTCAAAGCTCAAGTACAACTTCTCAAGGTCAGATCTACTGAAACGGTGGATGAATTGAGACAGAAAGATTTATAGATGTGGCATTTTGTTCATCACAAGAGGCTATTAAGGCAACTTGGTAACCATGGGTGAGAAGCAAAGTCCCGACAGAATAAAAAAAAACGGTTGAGACCTAAAACAAAGGGAAGAAATAAACAGCCGATTCTTATTACTGGGTAAGATTAATAGGGGGGAGTGCCATAGGTCTTGGTATCGGGACCACTGTTCCATAAATTTCCTGAAGAACTGAAGCCATGAAGAAACAAGAGCCATGAATAAAAAAAAGGCAGTAACAGTAGAGAATGACAAAAAGTGAATGCTTGATTCTGCTGCCACTGAATTGAAAAGCAAAATCTCATTTGATTCCAATCCCAACAGCACTGTCTCTTTTGTGATCACAGCTAAATTTAAGGCTCAACATAAGCAACTCTAGGATTAATAATTAATAAGTAGGTAACTGGATTAGTAACACATAATGGAAGGAAATATTAAAACACATGCACTCAGTAATAAGATTCAAGTTATATGTAGCATTTTGACCAAAAAAACCTCCAACACAACCTGATGTAATGGAAGTGGAGTAATCTGATTCTATTTTTCATCAGAAAAATCCCATTTGTTGTGAAAAGAACCAG